TGATATTTTAATACAAAACGAATATTTTAACAAGCGAAAAATTGCATCACCTAGACGACTCTAGACTCATATGCTACTTTAAAGTTTTTTTTTTGTATATCTAAAAGACGAGAAAAAAGAAAACCTAAATTAATTTGAACATAAAAATACTTAATATGAAAAATAATTAATCACGAAAAAATATGATAATAATCAAACAAGACTATTGAGAATGTTTTCATTTGAAATGTTTTCAGTCCCAGACCAGACCAGATCAGGTCAGACCTGACCAGATCAGCAAATTTCAGTCCAAAAGAAAACATCCTAAAATCTATTGTGAACTTTCATTCACACACTATACATCTATTATGTATTCATATATACACAATGAAAATAGAAAAATCTCATCTTTTAGTAATTGTGGGACAAATAATCGATAAAAATGTAATAAAAATATAGCCAAAAATAAACGGGGCGAATAATAAGGCGGACATGTATAAATCTGTAACCTCCCCGTTACCCGTAAAAAACAGGTATTCCCCGCCCCGTACCCATTACCTAGTCAATGCGGTTTTTCCCGTTTTGATAGGGCGGTTCGGTGCGGGTATCCATCGAATCGGTCACAATTATCATATCTAATTTGTAATGGTTGGGAGACCAACATGTTAAAAATATACTACGTCCATATGAAAATGGACTCTTACTTCCCTACATTCCAGCACCATTAATAAAATACACTTAGCTTATCTTTTCACATATCAATTTAGTAAAACATTAATTAAATTATTATAAGTAATGTTTTCCATTTAATGTTTTCCCTAAATAATTACGGAGTATGAAATAAGAAATACTCCTTCCGTCCTGCTATGATTGTCCCATTTTACCTTTTCGGTCCGTCCCACTGAGATTGTCTCATACCTTATTTGATAAAGTTTGTGTTGTTCTAAATCATTTCTACTTTATTCTTACTTTATCAATTCAATATCAACCACATAAACCCACTTTTATTAATAACTGTGCCACATTCTCTTGTCCCAAACTTAGGGGGCGGAGGTAGTACATATTTCAATGTAAAATAATTAAATTTCATATTAAAAAATTGTTACTTTTATTTTTTACTTTCTCTGTTTTAATAAAAACTGATTTTATTCAATACTCGGTTATTTATGAAGACCACATAGATTAAAAATTTGTGTTTCGTATTTTCTTGCGTACAAGAAAACTTCAACACTTAAATTTTTAATTTTTTTTTACACTTTGTATATGTAATATTGGTGATGGAGTATATGGCCCGGGAACCCCCCAGCCCACAGACTCCTGCTACTCCAACACAGGCCCAACAGGCCCAAGAAGCGCATGAAGCCCAATTTACCGCGGCCCTAGCTCAAAGAACCCCACGGTGCGCTTGGGGATTCCTTCGGCACCATGGCCGAAGGCTCCAAATTCCACAGGACAGTTAGATTTGAGCATACAAAGCTGCTGGAAGAAAACGACAGAAATCGGAAGCCTTCGGCCCCTTCGTGCCCTCGGCACAAAAAGTAGCCTTCGGCTACAGAGAGCCCCCGACTACGGGGGAGCCTGCGGCTAACAGCCCAATCATCGAAGATTCCCTTTGGGGACAGACAACCACCACATTTAATATGGCGTCACATCCACCCACCGCATTTAATGCGGTGCACATGCGAATGGTGGTGCCACCCCTATTGAGGTACCCCTCGGCCGTTAGATTGTTGACACGTGTACTCTCATCGCATTCATGGCTGCTATAAATAGCAGCCTTTATTCCTCTTGTAAAGGATCCCAGAACAAGTTCATTTAATATACTTGGCTCTCTCTCTCTCTTACTTGCTTGCTCTGACTTCTCTCTAGGTTATTCCCCGCAATAACCCCTCGGATAAGCTACCCCCGGGTACACTGTCCATCAATTGGTGCCATGTGAAAGATCAAAAAGTTTATTAATTTTGATATATTTATTGAAAATTTTGGATAAATAAAAAAAAAAGTTATAAAAATAGTGATATTACTTTCATTTTTTAGTCTAACTAGTATTGAACCCGTGCGATGCACGTGATATAGATATTCTTTTATTTTTCTTTGATGTTGTACAATTAAAAATGCTACTGTATGTGTAAAATATTTCAAAAAGAACCTAAAATATAAAAAGAGAAATATTGATATGTGTTATACTACTAAATATAAATGTGAAATTAAAAATATTACAGTATAAAAATTACAGTTTTCGAAAAACTATACACTACACTTATTATAAGGGTAATTTGAGTTTGCACCTCATTTTATTGTCCAAATTAGACTTTGCACTCCCTTTTTTAAAATCTTTGTTTTTGCACCCCCGACCCCATATGAAAAGACAAAAATGCCCCTCCATTAACTATTTTCTTGGCCTTTAACATATTCCTGATCGAGAGCATATTTGTCTTTTCATATGGGGTTGGGGTGCAAAAATAAAGTTTTTTTAAAAAAACGGTGTGCAAAGTCCAATTTAAACAATAATATGGGGTGCAAACTCAGATTACCCCTTGTTATAATTACTTTGGATAATATCATTATGTGTTGTCAATGTTTTCAATCTGTTTTGTATAGTACTACCTCCGCCCCCCTAAGTTTGAGACAAAAGAAGGTGGCAAGGTTATTAATAAAAGTGGGTTTATGTGGTTGATATTAAATTGATAAAGTAATAATATAGTAAGAATGATTTAGAACGACACAAATTTATCAAATAAGGTATGATACAATCTTAGTGGGATGGACCGAAAAGGTAAAATGAGACAATCATAACTGGACGAAGGAAGTAATATATAAAAAGGCTCCTAAGATTAACCCGACATAAGAAGCAATTTCAGATAAATAGACGTACTAAATATAGTTGACACAGAAAGTTAAATTAATTTTTTATAATGTTCTTACAATTTCGTAAGAACAATCGCCTATGTATACATCTCTATAAGCATGAATAATGGTAGGGGTATAATACATCTCGATAAGCATGAATAATGTTAGGGGTATAATGAGAATGTAAAAAATGTTGGTGTCTCTTTAGGCATTAAGCACTTGTACATCATGCATTGTTTTTTTTAAATGATACTCCAAGAGCACCTTAAGTCCATAACTCCGTTTCTACATTAACTTGCTTCCGTTTCTCACTATTGATTTTTAATGACCCTTCATCATCTTTGTTTTGGGAAAACTATCAAATAAGCCCCTCTATTTTTGAGAAAAATCAATTAAGCCCTCTAACTCAACTATCAACCAATCAAACCGTTCTACTATAAAAAACATGCAATTCGGCTGTTTTGCCGGTAAAGAGCGGGTGATTTCGGTAATGCTGACATGTCACCCATTTATCTTTATTTTTTATGCAAAATATCAGCGGCAGTGCGGCACTCCAGAAGCTCCCGTTCGTCCTCCATGATTGGCAAAAGTGGCAAAACAATGAATAAAAAGATGCCCATCTGGGGCCGCCGGTCATGACTACAGCATGAATCAAGCCTCCATCACCGCCGCCGGAAATACCGATGACGCGAAAGAGGAGGCCCCCAACATGTGAGTTTCGGTGTTCTCATACTATTCATTGTCGTCGTCGATTATGGTGTAAGTATGTTCCATGGCCGTTGTTCGTACCCGAACCTTCATACCTCCATCAATGGAGTCACCATCTCACCAAGGTGCCTCATACACCCTGATCTGGAGTTTAGACCCGACCCACTTTGGTTTCCTCTCCATGGTAGTTGTTTGTATCATATCTCCATTAATGGAGTCATCACCTCACTTTGGTTCAGGTGTTCACCCCGATCTTGCCAAGCTGCCTCTTATATGAAATCGAAGGCCCATAGTTAGGGAAAGTTACTGTTACTATTTCTTGCTCCCAAGCAGATCTGATACGACGGGTAGGGAGGAATTTGAGAAATTTTAGAAGAGCAATAAAGCAGGAAGGGGTAATTTAAAACTAGGGGGACGATTGAAATAAAAATGCAGAAAGGGTCAACTTTGACCGGGAGAAAAAAATTTGAAGCCCACGACCGACGTATATAAGCTAATAAAGAGACACCGGTTACCTGAAACCGGGAGGTTACCGGCTAAAAAGCCTATTTGACAATTTTATCTGAGTATAAGGGTTCGATGGAGTGATAGTTGACTTGGAGGTTTAATTGTTTTTTTTTTTTAAAGTTGGAGGGCTTAATTGATAGTTTTCCAAAACCTGATGCGTGTAAAAGGTCATTAGCATGGCTGCGAAATAGAGTGTATTGGTGAAGCTGTATGGAATTCTTACATGTTAGAATGGCTTGGGACTTGGGTGGTCCTGCAGTCCTGCTACAAAAAGAAAATATTTAGTGGAGACCGAGGATCAAAGAATTTTGGTTAAAGGAAGGTGATAGTAATTCTGATTTTTTTCATAATGTGGTTAAACAAAAGTGGAGGCAGAATAGGATGGCGATTGTCAGATTTGGAAAATGGAACAGGAGTTCCAAGAGCATGCTATAATATACTTTATTGGTGTAGCAGAGTTGCTAAAAAGAGTAAACAATGCATGAAACTATGAAAGGCTCTTTTTACTCTTCGAATTGTTGAGAAATCTGGGTTATTATGCAGTCAAGAACTTTGGGGGGGGGTAAAGAAATACACGTCAAGGGAATAATTATTTAGCAGGTTCTATAAGAAACTGCAGAAGCCATTACAAGAAAATGGCAAAATGGCAGATAACCTTCCAGACTGAAAGAATATTCTTATGATGGCAGATATACTGAAGTTAGTAAGGGCATGCTATATTGCCATCCTTCCTAACTTATCCAAGCACTGGCCAAGTTAAAATTCATGTTTCTTGAGAGAAAGCTTATGTGAGATGGGTTTACTATGCTGCTGTGGTTAGAAACCATTTTGGCCTTCTCCAGTTCACTCAGAATTACAAAGAACCTACATCCCATAGTTTGGACTTTGGATGGTTAACACAGGCCATACATTGGTGTTAAAGACAACCATATTACTGAAACTCATATTACTGATCTGGTAGATCTCTGCAACCCAGGAAGTCATTTTGATCCATAGCCGACAGAACAGAATTTTGTCTGTCAAGTGGTTACTTCCAGGTTCAAATCTGTGTAACTGTGTTCAATCTATCAATAAACTAGACCAAACAACTGCCAGATGGAGATGTTGTCAACAAAATTAAGGCAATTACACTGAATTTCATATTTTCCGGATCACATTAAATCAATAATTATTATGATAACCTACTTCTAAACCAGTCCTGCTAAACAGTAATCTTTTTCTGCTTTGTGAAGCTCAGTAATTCAACACACCATTGTGGATGGAAAAAGACTCTAAGATTCATTGGACAAAGCGGCCACCTCTTGCCCATGGCGGTGGCAAGATGGTCTGCCTACCTCCATTTCTTCTTGGAGCATTAACCCAGTTTTTTGACAACTTCTTCATTCTTTGCTCTTTCATACTTGCAAACATTGAATCTAATGTCTGAAGCTTCTTCTGCCTTGTCACTGGTTTCACCTTATCCTGCGGATATTTCTGCTGCACAAACATACAACAATCATTTCACTTGACACATTAAATTCCTGATTTACCAAGATGATTAACCTTGTTATGAACTTATGATACACACCCACACACATAAGAAAAGGAAACAAGCAGTACCTTAACAAAGACGTCATCCTTACTAGAGAAATTTCTATGCGCAAGGGGAGCAGCAACCCTACACAGCAATAAACAAAAGTGTGTGTAAAGTAAAGAAATATAACCATCGGGTTTGTTTTCAAGGGATAAGCAACTCGTAATCCGCATTCACATGATGGCAGGTCTAGAACTGATGAGTGAAAGCACTACAAGAATTACAAAATTCGGGAAGAGTTACCATCATCTTTCATGTGAGTATAAAATATAGACAAACTTATATATGTGTATATACTCAATTCACTATTCTAAACTAAGTTTCTTCACTCCAGCCATCAAGTCTTGTACTCTTGTGCAAAACCAAGCAACTTAACTATTACTACCTCCGTCCCACTAACATTGGGACGGAAGGTGGCACGGTTATTTAGAAAAGTGGGTTTATGTGGTTGATATTGAATTGAAAAGGTAAAAATAAAGTAAGAATGATTTAGAGCCACACAAACTTTACCAAATTTGGTATGGGACAATCTTAGCGGGACTTCTCGAAAAGGTAAAATGGGACAATCTTAACGGGACGGAGGGAGTATAAATTACAAAAATGTCACCATCATGCTCACACATGTCTTTTAAATAAGACAAAACCAAGAGTGTGACCTCTACCCTCTGATATCCTTGGGATTGATGATTATGTGCACAAACAGTGGTATGAGAATGAGATTTATAGAGTAAAGAAAATTATGGGTATCAACATTACGATTGCAACCAATATTTAACTATGAAGTAGATACCATAGCACTCTTAGATGGCTCAAAAAAAGTACTTAAGTTATAAGTATGCAAGATTCTAAGCAGTTGTTGAACATTATTGAGCAAAAACGCAGCAAGCATCATAATCAGTGAGATGACAAGCCATTAAGCCAAATGTCATGTCACCTGCATTGCTTCTTTCCCGTGATGAATATCAACAGATAATCAGACTCTGGATGGTTAAAAAGACAAAGGACGTTTAGGCTGAAAAAATGCAAATCCAAGATACTTGAATATAAACTCTATGAGAAAGTCATATGGCAATGCTTCTTGCATAATTCATAAAATCTGCAAAAGTAGCTCTGTCTTCAAGCCAAAACGGTAGATCATGATCTATATCTAACACTGCAGCTTCTCACAAGCATAAAAATATTTATATATGGCATCTCCCCAAACATTACAAAGAACTCCACAATAGGATTACAAAATTCCACTCCAATTCTGGTGATACAAACCAAATCATTATAGTGAAATCCAATTTATATGTAAAAGTAGATTCTCACTTAGTGATTAACAAAACTGCATTGAAGTAGTGAAATCCAATATATATCATACTGAAATTTCAATCCATTGTAAAACTATCCATTTGGATGCAAGTAACACACCCCAAATATTCAAGCCTGTAAATTGACAAATGTAAATGTCAGAACACATAGCAAAGTCGTCAACAGACAAGAGAAACATTTTACATTTCTACCTGTGAAAAAATAAACTAACACTTCAAGAAGCTGGTAAGATGAACAGCCCACACTAGAGACAAAAGACTACAGTTATACAGTATCAGAGTAAGCTGACAAACTGTTCAACATTAACATTCCATCTAAATTATACCTTTGAACATTCATAGACACTGCCCTGCTTCGACTGAAGCCTCTATTGTGAATAGGAGCAACTGCGGCCTTTCTAGCTGCCTGAGCTGTCAAAGGGAAATGATTATCATGAAAACTTGTTCTCCTCTGAGCAAGATTCTCCTAAAAAGAAAACATAAATATAAATACTAAAAGTTAAAAAATTAACATGCTAATAAATAAATACAAATTAGCACATTTAACAGAAAAATAATCAAGTAAAATCCTCCCCATTATTAACATTAACCAGGTCATATACTCATATGTTCCATTTATGTAGCAAACCTGTCTAAGAGATGATCTTGTTTCCGTAAACCTCTTGAACTTGGCAGACTTATCAGCAGCAACATTATTATAAAACTTTTGGCTACTGTTCTGCACAAATACAAACCATTGAACCTCTAAAAACAGACTTAAAGAGAAAAAGAGCTTTCTTAAAGGTCTGATGCCTATAAAATAGTGGTTCTACTTACTGACACTCCTTGTTTCCCATTCCTGTGTTTCAAAGAATCGTTTTTTGACATTTTGATGATATCATCTGTGACATCAGAATTATAAGGAAGAAATTAGCAGAATGGGGAAAATACAGCTGAAAGGAGATCCAAAAATGCAAATATGCATAATATGCTACCAAGTGACATATCCATTTTTTTCTCCGTGAGAGCAATTGCATCAGTTGTTAGAGGTTTGACCGTCATCTGAGGCAAAAAAACATCGTTTTGAACAACACAGCAAAAAAAAAATTGAAATCCGGCAACTTAATAGAACTCTTCCCATGAGAAAAAAAACAATATGTGGGAAACAAAAAACAGATTTAACTGTTCAAGGAATAGGGCAATTACACAAATTCCAATTAAATAGGAAAATAAACTCGCGGTTAAAAAAGAAAGAATTCAAAAACCTAAAACTTCAGTGAATATAAATGAGAAGCGAAACGGATACCCTACAACGTAGAGAGGAAAGTATTTAGAAAAGCACTTACTATGTTCTGAGGAAACTAATGTAAAAACAACTACAGTGTTGGCGACGAATCAACGATTCCGAGCTAAAAGCGCCTGAAAAGTGAAAAGAATGGTGAAGAGAGCCTAGTGGAGATGGTAGTGAAGCTTAAAGCTTACAAGTTAAGGTTAGGGTTAATTTCACGACTTCAGGCAGACAAACGAATGGAACGCGGCTACAACCTCGACTTGCTTGAGAAGCGCGTCGAATAAGGCAAAATTCATTTAGAGCGGCAAAGCGGCTCATAGTAATGGTGAGTTCACTTTATTTGATTCGGTTTTGACTAGAAATCAAATACTATCGTACAAAATTAAAGTCGAAAGTTCGGTTTGATTTTGATTCAGTTTTACATTTCAAAATTTCGAATCATGATTTGATCAGTTCGATCTCGGTTTTTTAGGTTTTTATTAAGATTGTCATTTCATTCAAAATGATACGATAGTTGCAACCTCGCAGGGATAGGATTTTGGTTTTGGTTTACATATAAATGCAAGATTACTAGAACAAATAAAATAAAAAAGAGAAGAAATAAATATGTCTTGAGTTATATGAGTATGCGGGAGAGTAAAATGTATTTATTTTTAATTTACATTGTTTATAACCAGTAGAAAAAGTTCCATGAATATATACGTTATATGTGACATAATTGAGATGAATAGTTATTTGTTCATTCAATATATAACTTTAAGATTCATGAAAACAAAAGTTAATTATTAATAACCAGTAAAAACATATCATCATCATGCAATGAATTGCAACATACGTACATACGCAAAAGACACAATAGATCAATATAGTTACTTTGTATATAATTATAGGTAATGAATGTGTAAATGCATTATAAACTAACTAAACAAAAAATCAATTTTCTAGCACAAGAAAATAAAAAACTATCGGATTAATGACTAACAATTAACAAATAAAGTTCCATATTTTAAATTTTAATTAATTCGATTTATTTAGTTCGGTTCGGTTTTGAAGGGTAACAACCAAATCCGGACCAAGCAATTACAGTTCGGTTCGGTTTTTAACATTCTGTTTTGGTTTTTTAGCGGTTGAGTTATATTTGGTTGCGGTTTGATTTATTTTGATTCAATTTTCGGGTTTTCAATTTTCGATTCAAGTCCTAGCTCATAGGGACTTGTTTAGACTAAGGATGTTTTTACTTGGACTGAAATTTGTAAGTTTGGTCTGGTATGTTTAAGTCTAGTCTGATCTAGGCTGAATTGATCTGGTCTGGTTAATGTTTGTCTCTGGCTCTGTGTATTTTATAACTACGGAAGCTTGATCCGATCTGGTCTGGTCTGTTTAAGTTTTGTCAATTCTGGTCTAGGTGTTTAAGTGCAATCCTAGTTTGGGATTGAAAATAGTCCAAGTAAAAACACTCTAACAATATACTCTCAAAAATTCAATTTGAAAATCAGACTCCAGCGGATAGGACCGGATATATACTGGTCCGGTCTTCAATCCAATGATTTTTGTGATTATGGTTCCAGTACGATTGGGATTGGTCAAATTGGAATTGAAAGTTTTTTTGTCTGTGAATCCGGCACAGACAAAATATGTGTTATTTTATTTGTGCAAATTTTGCACAAATAAAATATTGTGTGTGAATAGAACTCGCAGACAAAGAAAACCTTACACAAACACATGATGAATATAAATATGAGTATAACCGTATAAGGGTTAGGGGTGGACTCGGGCCGGTTCGGGCCTGGGCCCGGCCGGGCCTCGGGCCAGAAAAATAGGGCCGGGCCCGAACCGCCGGAGGGCGGTTCCGGTTCCGGTTCCGGGCCAAACCGGGCCGGGCCGGTTCGGGCCAACCGGTCTATAATTTTTTTTTTTGGTTCTCCTTTTTAACCCCCTACCCCTCCCCCTCAACCCCAAACCACCCCAAACCACCTCAAATGGCCCAAAATACCTAATCCAACCCAAAACTTAAAAAAATTTCAAAAAAAAAAAAAAAATTAAAATCCGGCCCGGACCGGGCCCGAACCGGCCGGGCCGGTTCACCAAATGGAGGGCCCGGGCCCGGAACCGGGAACCACCGGGCCGGTTCGACCCGAACCGCCGGTGGACCGGGCCACCGGGCCGGGCCGGTTCACACAGTAGCCGGGCCGGGCCGGTTCCGGTTCGGACCGCCCGGCCCGAGTCCAGCACTAATAAGGGTGGGTACATATATCTTTTTTGACTATATATGTAAAGCGTTTCTCACAACCTCGCACATAAAGGTGCCTAGCGTCGCCTTTTAGAAAGCTGATATACAATTTTTATTTTGTAATCTATATATATATAAAAAGCGAATCGTGAGAACATAACTGTTTCCGCCTAGAATTAATTGGGCACACCACATAAGTAATTCTGGCATCGATCAATGGCTACGGTTAATAAAAATTACTCTGTTAACATGTGTACAACACAGGATATCCGTAATTAATAGATGAAAACTGTTCCGGTAACTTCCTTCAGCAACTCGCACTAACTTCCTTCACGAACGCCCAGTAACTTCTTCTCTTTCGCACTACAAACTGTTCCGTAACCCCCTCTAATATCTGTTTTAGTCATGCAGCCAACTGTAGCACTAGACAGATTTAAATAACATTGACATTATTATACGGAGCATAGTTTTGATGAGCATTAAATCAACACAATTACTTTTTTACCAGTATAAATCACTGCTACGTACTCCGTATGAAATACTTCAATCTGATCTCCAGAATAGATGTTCAGAGCAAGTGGCATGCTTATACTTATTATATTCTTTGTTACGTTCTTCAAAACATTAACCACACATGACGCATGACACATTCTAAAACAAGTAGTAATTCTTTTTTTTTTTGCAGGGTGCGAGTTTTAAGAAACAAAGATGCTGTTAAACAGACCAGAGACCAGCAACATAAACAAATCAAGAACCCATTGAGGTTAATTAGTGATCGAGGTATATACACATCAGGTTTATGGCAACAAATAAATCAACAAACGTTTGGAATGCATTTTCCATAATGCTCAGGTATTGTTGTAAAAACACATTTGAAGCACTACTTTTAACGTATGCATTTGTTAATCAAACTCAAATCAATTACTATATCTAAATTCTAATTTCTAATAAATAGGTATATCATATTCGCGCAAGATCATGGTAATACTTTTACACAATGAAAATGCTTTGAGAAAGAAAATGTAAATAGAAAAATATATTCACAATTGGAGATTCTGAAAAATAATTATCATTTTGGTCTAAAGCAAATTATATTTATATAAAATAAATGAAAAATAAATGTGAATACACAATAGTGAATGAATAGTTTACTCAACTACTTTTCCTTTTCTTGCGCGTGAAATTAAAAATTATGGTTTGTGTGCAAAAAATTACTCCCTCCGTCCCGAAATATAAGATACTTTTCGGTTTATGATGTTTGACCAACGATAAATTAAAGCAAATGGATCCCTGTCTGCACTCAAATTATTTTTTTAAACAAAATTCATATTCAAAAACTACATTAATATCGCTACAAAACCTGCAAAAAATAATTCACATTTCATAAAATTTTGATATACCAAAAATTAAAAGATTAAGAGTGATTTGTGTTGACCAAGTGAATAGTAAAGATATCTTATATAACAAAAAACAGGGTGACTAAATGGGCTATAAATCAATAAATCTTGTGTTCTTAATAATTAATACTTCGTATTATACTCTGTAACTAATTAGTAGTTGAAAACAGTTCAAATAAATCTTCATTAAATTCCTATTAAATTCATCCTTTATGCCAAGTATTAATGAAGTACAGACTATCACATAAACATGATTATTTTGAAAAAAATATTAATTCAAGGTTCCTACTGGATTTGGCTCAGTATATAACTATATAAGCTGTATAACATTTTAATATAAAAAATCGTTGAAATTAAAATTTAAAAAAACTGAAATTACTTTAAAAATCAGAGTATTTACTTTTACGTTATTTTGGAATTATGTCTATACTCTACATCTATTTATATATTTTTAAATTGTGATTCTATATTTTAAAAATTTTAATTTTCAATTTGAATTTTTGTTTTTTTATTTTTTTAAAAATTATAATTATTTATATATTTTGACATTTTTACATTTTATATTTATATATCTTACAAATCCATATTAATTTTACTTATTATTTTCTTAATGGCTGGATCAGCCGCTTTTTCAAATGCTAGCATGCTAACATGATACGTGGTAATTTTTAGTATATAACTTAAGCGATGAATTTAAAAACCAAAAACTTGAAAAATGAAGTTCATCAATAAGGCCCCCATTCATGTTGGTGTCTCACATGTTATTAAACGTGAAGGATCAAAAATACTTGACAAGCTATATTGTTTACCCGAATTTTTTTCAAAATGTGTAGTTTTTATGTAATGTACTGTTTTTGAATTGGTTTTATGTGGGTACTCGATATATGTGTTAAATCATAAATAAAAATAAATATTTTTTTGTCCCGTGCAACGCACGGGTACAATACTAGTACGTATAAAATAGAAAGAAACAAAAATCAACCTCCGCTATCTCTTGTGATCGAAATCTGATCAAATAGTATCATCCTGATGAAATGATGTCATGTTGAATATATTTTTCATCCCAACAAATTAAATTGGTGAACGCTCTAAAAAAATTGTCTTGATGAAGAAACATTGTCGAGACGATGCTGGCTCTATAATTCTTTGAGGACCAAAATCTTCAGAAGACACGTTGCTTGATAGTCAGGGAATACGCAAATTATACCGTACAGTCAGCTGTACGGTGAGCACCGTATAGCCGGCCATTTTTATAATTAAATATGGGCTCTGCAATTTATCGGCGACGGAAAACAGATCCGGAAGTCGAGCGATTACGAGGAGGAACCGGCTGAAGGCTGATGATGCTGGGATAATGCTTGGCTTATCTAATTGAAGCAAACCCAATCTTCCAAATAATAGTGCTTCGTAATTCACAATTCAGAATACAGGTGACCACTATTTGCAAGTATAATAATTGAGAGCACTTTTGTTTGTACGAATCACGTTTTTGGTTTTTGTGTTTTCTTCATTTCTTCTTTTCTTGCTTTACTTTTTTCCTTCTTTCTTTTCCTTTCTTTTTTATTTTAATCTTTATTCAATTATAAAATATTTTAAATATTAGAGCCCGTTTGGTAACACGAAAATCGGCTGTTTTGGTTGATTCTGCTGAAATTTATTAAATTCTGGCTGAAGTGGCTGTTTTGGCTGATTCTGCTGATTCT